AAAATGGCGGCCGTCGGCGGCTTCCAATAGCGTATCTTCAAAGTCTAATTTCTACCGGAAAGCTACCACTCAGAATGTCCGGCAAGACATTTTTGGAAAGGTAAATAGATAATCTTTCATTTGGGATCAGTCTCGTTTATTCTCCTGAGATGAGTGTTAGAACCCCCTCAGGTGATGGACTATTACTATCGGTTAGCAAATTCAAACGTTTCCTCTTAAATTTCCTTATAAAACACTTGGTAAACGCTTCATCGTGTACTGCTGAGTTATGGATGCACTCAGGAGACTCAGGCCTGCTAAGCTCACATTAACAACTCGAGGAATTGAGAATAGTTTATTGACGTCATCAGCGTGCTCAATAGGAATATGAAGCACGCTCGCGCTATTGAATTTGATTAGGCGAATTTTCTAGCTATGTTATAAAGTTAATTAAGTCTTGATTCTGCCTCGCTGTGCAATCCGACAACCGTTTCCCGCGCGATACGAATTTCGACAAATTACAAACCTACAGCCTTCGCTTCGCTAAGAAAATTTTAGAAGTTGATATTCTTACTGTTGAGTATCCCACATGCATGCAGCCTCGACTATCACACAGCCGCATCAAGAAGACCATGGGAAATAGTTTGGGGTCAACAGAACTTGCTCATTTTGAGCCCACATTACCCGGAGTGAAAAACTTCCATGTAGCAAAACCATAGAAAATTTCACCAAGGGTCACCAGGAGCCAACAGGATTTTGGGAGACCGGAGATTTTTAAACAATTTTGGGAGAAATTCTGGAAAGATTTGTGGCCCATTTCCCGGGATTTTTTTTTAGCTAGGCCTAAATCGGGCTTGCGAGAACTCGCACCCCTCGCATTTGCGCGAGCGTCTTCCACGCAGGCTATGATAGGATGTTCGAAGCAGAGATTTACCTTAGTCTTAGAAAAAGAAAAAAAGGAAGAAAACAGGGCACATGAGAGGGGAAAGCTGCACGCCCCCCCCCGGGGGTCACTCTAGTGGCTGGTGCTTGCGGAAGCGGTACGGAT